CGTTCTCAGCATCCGATCCTGATGGTCGGAACCCCATGTCTTGTAAAGGCTGACATTCGTTCTCAGCATCTGGATGGTCGTGGGGGTTGTTTCAGGGGCACCTGGGAAAGTTCCTGCCTTGCGTGAGAGTGCCCTTCTCTCAGCGCTCCCGCGCATTGCCTCTTGGGGAACATGAGCAGGGCAGGTGGGAGCCTTCAACTGGCCATTTCCTTCCACAAGTAAACATCCTACTCGTGTCTCAGAGCGTTTCAGCCCAGTGTGCTGCAGTCGAGCTAGGATCCTCCCCAGGTCTGCCGCGTTGCTGGTGTTCCCATCTCCTCCAGGGGCACCATCATGCAGTTGGACAAACCACGGCCTGGAAGCCAACCTTGCCACCTCCCTCGCAGTCATGTTCCGGGCCCAGCACCAAGTTCTGTCTTACTGCCTGAGTCTCTCCTGAACCAGTATCTTTCTTCCCATATTTTCCATTGCCCTGGTCTAAGTAAGCTCTTATCCTCTCCCTCCCAACTGGCCTCCCACCTCCACTCGCCTCCTAACATAATTAACTCAAGATGTGAATCTGTTTGCACCCCTCCCTTCTTTAACATCCCTCAATGACTTCCCATGGCTTTCAGGACAGAAAGCAAAATTCTTAGCGCGGTAGGTCCATAAAGCCCTGCCTCCCCTGCCCCCCTCCCCGACCTGTGACCCCGGTTGCCTGCCTTTACTCCATGCTCTGCTTGGCCTTCGGAGACCCAGCCTCACTGCATTGTCCTCTCCGGGTCCCTCGGCCTTTGCATGCAGGCTTTGCCAGTGGGCCTTCGGAGACCCAGCCTCACTGCATTGTCCTCTCCTTTGCCAGTACGAGCCTTTGCACTTGCTCGGTCCTCTTACTGGAATATTCTCCCTCCGTACTCTCTTGGCCTAGTCAGCGCTACTGCTGCAGCCTCTCTGTCTCGGCTTACCGGCCCCTTTTCGGAGGAGCTCTGCTGATACTCTGACCAAGCCAAGCTCCCAACAGTCCTCCGTCCGTGCCAGGTCCCTCCCCTTCGTAGCACTTATCACCGCTTTCATCTTTCATTTTTGTGGACGATCACTGCATGAGCTCTTCCTGGCACCTAATAGAGGTTCAAAAGATCCCTGTAAAATACTGACTGTGTGCGCACTCCCCTCAGATGCTCTCTCCTAGAACTGCCTTCACCTGACCCAGCTGGCCGCACTGACGTTTACCAACGATTATTCCTTGTTCTTACAATCCTTACATTGACATCCAAGCTTATTTAGCTTTTTATTTCCTTTACATGTCTGATGGCTCTCCCTCAGGAGGCCCAGGTGGAACCTCTGGGGTGGGGCTTGGGGGAGGTGAGTGTAATGGGAAAAAAGCCTTTGTGTGTGTGTGTGTGTGGTGGTGGGGATTCTGATCGGCCACCTGCCTGGCAGAGATGGGGCAGGAGGGGCCTCCTCCAGATCTGGGGTGCATACTCGGGGTGGGAAGACCTGCTTCAAAGCCTTCTTCCCAGGAGTGCTACTCTATCCGTTCCCCCTCCCTGCTCCTCCGGCTTTCAGAGGTGGCATATTTACAGAGGAAATCGCTGCCCTTTTTGCATATTGATTCATTTGAGAGTACTTCCTCAGAACAAGAGACTCGGCCGCACTGCTGTTAGCTTTCTGTAAAGCTGCACACGGCTTTTCTGTGTGTGTTTATTACGCGCCCCTTGAGCTAAATGTGAGGCTGAGTGGTAATTGCGAGTCCATTTCCCTGCAGGCGAGCTGGCCGCCCTGAGGAGCCCCGAGGTGTAATCTTTACGCAGCTGCCTTGGCAACGGAGTCCACCGGTGTTTGCTATCCGTCCAAGGACAAGCAAACATCCACAAGAGTGGCTGTTTCGAACGAATTTCCCTCTCAAATTGGCACATTCTCTGTGAGCTTTCCAGACTTCACAGCGTGCCTCACAGTTTGGGAACAATTGCCATCCTCACCTGAGCAGCAAGTACTGGTTCTGTGGTGACTCGTGTCTTTAAAAGGCCAGAGAGGTCCAGCCTGCTCTGCCGCAATCACTTAGATACACACCCCCAAACGTCCCCAGGATAAAAGGTCACCTTTTAACACGTTAAAATATCACTGTTGCCACGTCTTAAGCTTTTGTGTACACTGAAGTTAACCATAGGGTACTTGAAATTTTTTATACTATATTAATTTACCAATTCAAATCCGTGTTTCACACAAGACTTCTATTATGTTGAATTATTGGTTTTTTTATTCTTAAAATGTCCTGTTGAAGAACTCCACGTTCTATCAGGGTGGCTGGCAGCTTTGTAACTGGTTTGCCCACTTTGATCAGCTGCCTCCTGCACATCTCCCACTGGGGATGTGCCCGCAACCCAGGCACATGCCCTTGACCGGAATCGAACCTGGGACCTTTCAGTCCGCAGGCCGACGCTCTATCCACTGAGCCAAACCGGTTTCGGCTGGTTTTTTTATTCTTAAAATGTCCTGTCGAAGAACTTCTCCACGTTCTATCAGGGTGGCTGGCAGCTTTGTCACTGGTTTGCCCACTTTTAGAATGACTAACGGTCCTGCTGTGACCCAGGCTGAGAGGGGTTCCCAGGACCTGGGTTTTCTGTGAGAAAACCAGAAAGTCCAGACCAATCAGGACAGATTGGTCACCCTCCTCCCACTTTTCCCCAATCAAAGGTAATTCCTCCCTGTGTGTGTGTGTTTATTGGTGGTAGGAATTCCCTGAAACCAATAACTTGCTAAGCTTTCTCTCTCCGAGTCTGTCAATCTCTCTCTATCTCACATATAACAGCTTTACTGAGATAAAATTCACATAACATGCCATTCACCCATTTAAAGTGTGCAATTCTGTAGTTATTAGTATATTCACAGAGTTGTGCGATCCTCAACAACACAATCTTAGCACATTTTCATAACTCGCACAAATACCCTGTGCATTAGCAGTCACGCCCACTTCCCCATCCTCTCAATGCCTGCCAACCACTGGTCTGCTTTGCCTTTTCTGCACACTTCCTGTAACCGGAACCGTATAATATGTGGCCTTTTGTGCCTGGCTTTCTTTCACTTAGCATGATGTGTTTAAGGTTCTTCCATATCATAGCACATATCCATTGTTTATTCCTTTTTTATCACTGAATAATAGTCCATTGTATAGACAGACCACATTTTATTTATCTAGTCACAAGTTGGTGGACACTTGAGTTGTTTCTATCTTTGGGCTATTATGAATAGTCCTGCTATAAATACTTATGTATACGTTTTTGTGTGACCATATTTTTCATTTCTCTTGAGTAAAAACCTATGAGTGGAATTCCTGGGTCATGTGGTAACTCTAGGTCTAATCTTTGAGGAACTGCCAGACTGTTTTCCAGAGTAGCTGAACCATTTGCATTCTCACCAGCAGTGTGTGTAGGTCCTAGTTTCCCCACTTCCTTGTCAACACTTGTTGTTACCTGTCTTTTTTATTATAGGCATCCTAGTGGGTGTGACGTGGTAGCTCAGAGTTTGATTTGCATTTCCTTGATGGCCAAGGATGTTAAACATCTTTTCATATGTTTATTGCTAAGTTTCTTAAATGGAAAGTTATAATAAATACAAAGGATGTTGCAAAAACTGATTATATGCTGTCAGCTTAAGATTTAAATTAAATATTTATATAGGACGCCCACATTATTATCTATTATCTCAGATCATTCCACCTGGAGATAAACCTCCAAGTTTCATTTAAACCACTGACTCTTCCTCGCTCTCTCTCACCTGCTCTGATGTCGGGCCATCCTCTGCTCTCTCCACTGAGCCTGTTGGCCAAGTGACTGCTCCCTCCTGCAGCCAAGGACTGTGTGTTCTCTGCACGTAAGCCTGGACTTGCAACCCGGTGCTTTACCGATTAACTTCCTCAGGCTGGACACCCAGTCAGTGCTCCTGTTATCCGGGCTCCTCTGCACCCTCATTCCTTCCCTTCTCTCACCTCTCTGATTGGATGCTGCTTCTTTCTCCTTTGTCTTTTCCTCCGGTTTCTCTTGTGCATTCTGTATGTTTTTTTAATGTACCAGCTTGTCCCTTCCTTCCTTCCTTAACAATTTACGAGAGGATCTAGGCGCTCTCTTCCATCGCCTGCCTTTGCCTCCTCTGCTCCTGTCAGTGACTGATTTTCTCTCAAGAAACCCCACTGACTTGGCAGAAGAGGACAGGACTCCTAGCAAAGCCACTGGGAACACGATCTGCTTTAGAAAACACACTCTCTACTGCAATCTGTTCTGGAGCCCGAGAAGGGTAATTAGTAGTTTTCTTCTCTCTAGAGAGGCCCTGGCCACAGTTGTGTGGTAGTGATTAAGAGTTTCTAAAAATGTCTATGGATGACCCCACTCCCCTCATTAATCAGCCGCTGCTACAAAACACCATTTCAGCATTTTAAACCCATTATTGCCTGACATGTGTCGGTCAAATGGCCATACCTTGCAATTTGGTAGAGGGGACAAGAGTAATAATAATTAATAATTAATAATCAATGAGCCAGGTGCTACCTAAGCAGTGGAGAAAGAGTAATTTCATGGGGACAGGCCAGTGGAGAAGTGGGCAGCCAGGTATTTTCATTATCATTTGCACATAAAGAGATTCAGCCAGCACAGGGTAACGTGTCCACAATTCAGATACAAAAATGGTTTCTCATCATACTTACCTGATGGGGGGTGGGGGAATGGGAGGGGGTACCATGATCACGAAGGTGTTTTCCCAGGGAGAGGCTTATCCATTGCACTCCGGATGCGCTGACCCCTGCGGTTTCCCCACATGTGGGAAACTCAACTGCATATTTGTGGTCGTGGGGGACTGCATTCGCGCTCTCCCCTGTAAATAAAACAAAATAAAATATAAGAAGGTCTCTCATTTCTCCTTCCTTAAAGATACAACACTTGGGACAATGCTGAGATTTTCAGCTCCGAGCAAAGAGATCTGTGGTCCCCACAAGTGAGGTAGCACAATGTTTGTTGGTCTTTGTGTTTCAGAGTGAAGGGGCAAGAGAAGGAGGAGAAATTGAGGCGGGCAGTCAAGCAGGTCCTGAAGTGTGATGTGACCCAGAGCCGGCTGCTGGGGGCCGCCTCCCTGCCCCTGGCCGACTGCCTGCTCAGCACGCTGTGCCTGGACGCCGCCTGCCCAGACCTCCCCACCTACCGCTCCGCCCTCAGGAACCTCAGCAGCCTGCTCAAGCCAGGGGGCCACCTGGTGCTCGTGGATGCCCTAAAGAGCAGCTACTACATGATTGGGGAGCAGAGGTTCTCTAGCCTCTCCCTGGACCGGGAGGCAGTCGAGGCTGCTGTGCGAGAGGCCGGGTATGCCATCAAGCAGTTTGATGTGATCTCGCAAAGTTACTCTTCCACTGTGGCCAACAACGAAGGCCTTTTCTTCCTGGTGGGGCAGAAGCTGAGCAGATCTGCATGACACCTTGTGGCCACAATGAAGGCACTTCCTTGACTTACCCAGTTGACTTCAGTCCTTGGTTCTAATTGTTGCGGTCACTATGCTGAGTAGAGGCTAATGGCTGGGGCGCTGAGGGTTTGTCTAGGACAAGGTTATAGCCATCAGTAAACCTGGAGGCGATTGGTTGACCACCTACTCTGTGTCTAGTCTTCACTACCTGTGATTATAAAAGAAAATATAACGTTCCTTAAGCATCTTGCTTATGAAGGCTCAAGCCCACACCTGCCTACAGAGCAATGTCTGAAGTTACTCAGCATTCATTTCCTTGGGGCCTGCTTCCTCCTTCTCTCCACAAACAGACTTCTCCTCTTCAACTCTTGCCTTCTCTAGAGACCCCGTCTTCAGCTGGGGTCCCCTGGTACCATCACTACCTCTGGGGTCAGAGAACAGCTGTTGCTTTGCTCCTGGGTCCCAGGGATGAGTCAGGCCCTTCTCTTACTTCCTCAACACACCTACCTGAAGAGAAGCTTAGGAGTTAGCAAGCGCGATAGCAGGTGCTCATTACAGCTGCCCTTAGAAACAGTCTTCAGAGCCCGCCTCCTGAGAGGGTCCTGTTGGCATAGCTCTCGGCCAAGTACCTCCTTAGAGTTAGCTTCTATCCTGATGGCATGCCATGCTCTCCTCCCAGGCACCATCACCCACGATGCTCTAAAACAGAGGTTGACAAACTATGGCCCATGAGCCAGAGCCAGCCTGCTGCCTGTGTTGTAAAATCTTACTGAGACATGACCATGCATTTACACATTGCCTGTGGCTGTTTTCGTGCTATAATACCAGAGTTGAATAGTGTGACAGCAACTGTATGCATGACCTGTGAGGAACAGAGTAAAGACGTAAGATGGAGTCAAGCTGCTAAATGATTAACTTCAAGTGGGCTGAGTCATAGGGAAATGACTATTTTTGTTTTAAATGACTCTGGGGACTTAAACTTTTGAACTTTCCATTCTGTGTCAATACCTGGAAGCACATCAGTACATCGTGTGTTAATGACTGGACATGCACCAAACCGCCAGGTAACCAGCTGAATGACGTCAACAAGAAAATGTTGCGATGTCTAGACCACTGGGCATCTGATGATTACCACCACACATATGACGGTGACCATCTTGAACCAATTCGGGGGCTAAGAATGTAGAACTGATTTTCCTCAAGAATATACTTTTTATTGTAAGAACCCTCAGCTATTCTTTCCCTTTCAGAACACTCTAGATACTGCCTCGTTGTGTTTCTGGTTTGCAACCCTTAAGACCATTGAATAAATCTTTGTCACTTATTTCTAGCCACAGCTCCAGGCTCTACTGAGCTCAGTTGACATTTAGCAAAGCCCAAACTAGCTATTATCTGGACCATTATAGAAAAAGTTTGCTGATCCCAACATAAAGGAGAGAGGAGTGTCCCTTCCCACTCTTCCTCATCCCAAGATTTCCCTTTTCCCAGGTTTACTGACAGGGGACCTTTCTGCTTTCCACAAGGGAGAGTCCTTCCTCCCACTCCCCCCACATTCACGGACAATCACATCAGAGCACAAGAGTCCAACACTAGTACATTTTTGTTTACATGGTTGTTTAGGACAATGGTGTCATCACACAACATGGTCCATTTCCAGGATATTTCAATCACTCAAGCTCACAGGGCATTCACATTCAAACACAATATTCTGCCCTAACCGGTTTGGCTCGGTGGATAGAGCGTAGGCCTGTGGACTGAAGGGTCCCAGGTTCGATTCTGGTCAAGGGCATGTACCTTGGTTGCAGGCGCGTCCCCAGTGGGGAGTGTGCAGGAGGCAGCTGATCGATGTTTCTGACTTTCTAACCCTCTCCCTTCCTCTCTGTAAAAAAATCAATAAAATATATATTTTTTAAAAACCCACAATATTCTAATCTGATTATAATTCTAGAGATTCCATCCTGAAGGACACGAACGGGCGAGTCCTGGATGGAGAAAGCCACATGCAACTCTGTTCCTTTAGCAGGTGCTGTGACTGGGCCTGCACATCCATTCTGCAAGCAACAGCCCCCAGAAGAGCGCACCTAACTCACAGGATCCAGCATAAAGCACCAGGCTGCCAAGAAGTGCCCAAGTCTTTAGAAATGGGGTTCTCTCCAACATGTGCCATATCTCCCGCCCAGAGGGAAGGCCACAGCTTCGCCCAAAACATCTGTATTTGGTTACCTCCCAAAGCAACAGCTCTTGCTTATTTATTTTTGCATAACTGTAAACAAAAACACGTTTTCATTTTAAAAAGGATTTTCTGGTTTAAAACTCTTAAAAATAAGCACTCTTCACCATTATTTCCATTATTGAAAATACAGCTCCTTAGATTGAATATTGCCTTCAAAACATTTTAAATTAAATGTAGCACCCTTGCCTGGCCGGTGTGGCTCAGTGGTTGAGTGTCATCCTATGAACCAGGCGGTTACTGTTAGATTCCCGGTCAGGGCACATTGCCCGAGTTGTGGGCTCGAACCCCAGTGGGGGGTGTGCAGGAGGCAGCCAATCAATGATTCTCTCTCATTATTGATGATTCTATCTCTCCCTCTCCCTTTCTCTCTGAAAAAAAAAAATGTAGAGCCCTTGAAAATTAAGAACAAACAACAGTTTCCTGTGCTCTGACATAAAGGATGTAGGGAAACTGAAATACAGCCCTGCCTACGTTTCGGGCCAGTGAACTCAGAGCAGACTGTCCATGAAAACCAGCTACACTGAAGACAGATTTATAAGAAAGAGACATAAGACTAATTAAATACCGTAGCATAGACAAGAAAACAAACAAACAAGAAAATCCCCAAGTGATCTCTTCTTAAGAGCAGCTTCAAAATGATAGGTTTTCTACTCTTTCCTGTGAAAGTCTGGGGAAGGGGAGAGTGAGTCTGAGGCCAGACGGGCACCAGCAGCCTTAGACAGCACAGTTCCTCAGCAGACCTCGTCTCCGGGGAGTTTTGCTTCCAGGATGGCATTTGCTATGTTGTGTTATAACTTTATTTTTCTGTTTCCCCACTGAACTGTGAGCCTCTGGTTTATATGTAGAATCCCTGACGCTTTGGCCAGACATGGTCTGGGTGCCGGAGACAGAGCAGTGCATCGTGGAGGTGAGAGCCCTGGTCTCCGGCGCTTATGTTCCAACAGAGGGAGTTTTGGGGAGGCAGACAAGGAAGCTAACTGGTAAATAGGAGACTCTCTGATAGTGACAAGATCCACGAAGGAAATACAACCAGGTAATGGAGAGGAGAATGCCTGTGTGACAATGAATATCTGACTAAAAATTGTTTCAACGAGAGGGTTCATCAATCTCACTAAGAGGTTCCGAGGCACACACTCCGGGAGGGATGGTGGCTCAGCACTGAGGGAGGGGTGGTGGCTCAGCACTGAGGGAGGGATGGTGGCTCAGCACTGTGGGAGGGATGGTGGTTCAGCACTGAGGGAGGGATGGTGGCGCACTGAGGGGGGAGGGATGGTGGCTCAGCACTCCGGGAGGGATGGTGGCTCAGCACTGTGGGAGGGATGGTGGCTCAGCACTGTGGGAGGGATGGTGGCTTAGCACTCCGGGAGGGATGGTGGCTCAGTGTCCGCCAGCGCTGGGCCCAGGTGGCACCTTCCCATCTGTGGGTTGGTCATTCATGGTTGGAAATCTCTTTCAGACGCCCCCGCAGGTGTCTCACGTCTTGTTGCCCAGGACTGAGTAACATGCCTGCCTCTAGACCAGTTACAGACAAAACAGAAAGGCACAGGCACATTCCTTAAGATGTGTTAAAAGAATGAACAAATTCTTAGATAACAACAAAAAGGAAAAAGAAAGCTCATGGATTCCATGAATGAGCCAGCATCTCTGTCATCCTAGCAATCCACTCCCCCACCTCCACCCCCACCCCCTCAGCTACGAAGATCATCCTATTTTCAAATTCTGGCTCGGCCCCTTACTAGCTGTTTTTTCTTGAGCAAGTTATCTAGTTCCTCTGCATCTCAGCTTCCCCATCTGTAAAATGAAATTAAACTAGAACTTCTTGTCAAGAGAATGAAAATAAATGGCTATCTGTAAAGGACCTAGAACAATGCTTAGCACTTGATACGCACATACTTCTCTACTGTACGTTATAATCCTTATTTCATCATCTCCACCTGTGGTGTTAGTTGCCGAAGCGGCTGAGAAGAGATGTATTGCGCTCTATCCACTGAGCCAAACCGGTTACGGCCTATTTTCAAATTCTGACTCGGCCACTTACTAGCTGTTTTTCCTTGGGCAAGTTATCTAGTTCCTCTGCACCTCAGTTTCCCCATCTGTAAAATGAAATTAAACTAGAACTTCTTGTCAAGAGAATGAAAATAAATGGCTACCTATAAAGGACCTAACAGTGGTCGGCAAACTCATTAGTCAACAGAGCCAAATATCAACAGTACAATGATTGAAATTTCTTTTGAGAGCCAAGTTTTTTAAACTTAAACTATATAGGTAGGTACATTGTTATTAACTTAATTAGGGTACTCCTAAGGCTTAGGAAGAGCCACACTCAAGGGGCCAAAGAGCCGCATGTGGCTTGCGAGCCGCAGTATACTGACCACGGACCTAGAACAATACTTAGCACTTGATACGCACATACTTCTCTACTGTACGTTATAATCCTATTTCATCATCTCCACTTGTGGTGTTAGTTGCCAAAGCCGCTGAGAAGAGATGTATTGTCTCCAAGGAGGAGAGATTTCAGTTCTGGGCTGCAGGCGTCCAGGCCCTTTCCTGGCAATGCCTTCCAGAGGGGCTCTGCTAAAACTCAGCTTCTACACCACAGGCCACCAATTCCTTTCTCATTTAAGAAATATTCAGCAAACATGTATCTGGCACCCCCACCTCTTCCTACCCGAGGAACTGGGAAGGCAAATAAAACCCCCGTGTCAGCCCGCTCACGGTCCTGGGCTTGCAGTCACGGTAGCATCCCCTGTTTCCAGGCACTTCCCAGGCGCGCTGCAGGCTGCAGCCCGGTCCCACCCAGAGCCGCCATGCCAGCTCTGCTCAGGCTGCGCTCCGATAGGCGTGGGTCGGCTCCGCCTGTCTTGAGAACTGCGCCCACCAGTTCTGTTTGGCTGCCTCGGAGCGCGCTGGTTTCCTCCCAGCGAGGTAGAGGACGCTGCCTCTATTCCGAGTGTTAGTACGCTTTTTCTGCAAAGGGCCATATAGTAGATATTTTAGGCTTTGCAAGTCTTATGGTCTTGATGGAAACTACTCAAGTCTACAATTACAATGAAAGCAGACCTAACAATATGCAAATGAATGGGTATGGCTGTGTTTCAATAAAACTTTATTCACAAAAAGAGGTCGATGAATGGATTTGGCATTTGGTACAAGGGTTGTAGTTTACTGATGCCTGATCTTGTCCCTGAAGCAGCCTTGCTTGTGTCCAAGGTTTTACAAGGTTTCTCATGGACATTCTGGTTAGTTTCAAACATCAGTCCTGCCTACAGGAGCTCAAACCCAGTCCAGACTGGAGCTGGAAGGGGACTAGCAGAACATTGTCTCTCCATGTTGTAGCCATGCTCCATCACTCTCCCCTGTTGCCTCCCCCAATCAGAACTCCTCCCTCCTCCCCAGTGTGAAGCATTCAATAATTACAGACAGAAAATGAGGGGCGGGGGCGGGGGGGAGAAGCAGATGAAGCCAACTACACTAATAGTTTTCAAACTGCAAGTTGGCCTTCAATAGCGTATCATAAAATCAATTCAGTGTACCACCACAAACAATAGTGAGTAAACTAGAAGACAAAATTCCAGATGTAGCATTCGTATGGTATTATTTTGTGAAGTTTTGTATAATTACATACTTATATATGTATATGTATATATATATATATACATATACATATATATATATTTGTTACTACATCATGATATACAATCTACACTAATAAAAGAGAAACATGGTAATTAGCGTATGACCGCTACCCTTCCCATTGGCTAATCAGCATATCCTTATGCAAATTAACTGTCAGCCAAGATGGCGGCCGGCAGCCATGCACTGAAGCGAACAGGGAGGCCTGATGGGCCCTGCCTTGAGTGTGACAGGGGGCGGTGCCCCAACCCCCCAATCGGCCCTGCTCTGAGCCTGACCAGGGGCTGCACCTAGGGATTGGGCGTGCCCTCTGCCACCTGGGAGCAGGCCTAAGCCAGCAGGTCGTTATCTCCCGAGGGGTCCCAGACTGCGAGAAAGCACAGGCCGGGCTGGGTGACCCCCCCTCCCCCCCTGAGTGCACAAATTTTTGTGCACCGGGCCTCTAGTATATATATATATTCAGCTTGTGATAAAAAATGTTTGAAAGTCACTAGCTGTACTCTGGGTTCTGGGACTCATTCCCAGTAGCCAACATCTTCCTTTCAAACAGAGATGAAAGGCGTGGCCCTGTTCTTAAATAACCCCGAGCCACGGGGACATGGACAGGCACACCGTCAGCATGGGCACGGCCAGGGCTCGGGATGAGCCAGCACACAGTGCCCGGAGGGGGTTGTCAGGAAAGGTGCTGTTTGCTCTGGGTCCTGTGAGCTGACCA